GCTCAAACCCTTAACGGGCAGCAGCAGCAGCGTATGAACACAAGAGAACAAAATACCTTTATGATCTGCCACCCCTGGTGCACTCCACATCCCCATGTTCCTAATATGTATTCATATCACCCACTTAGCCACTACAGGGAACTCCTTTAGGCCATGTTCAGTTGCCCAACGTTTTCGAATGTTGCAGATAGAAATGCCATGAATAGTGCCGATGTGCTTCCTTACTCTACATGTCAGAAGCATATTTGTTCTACATAACATATTTCTATCTGAACGTTCCAAAACGTTGCGTCCTGCTGAACACACCTGGCTTCTCTAACACTTGCTCATAGTGGGAAACCACTTACCAGGCCATACTGAATAAAGCAAACAAGTCATTCTATATGACTATTCCCTCAGATCCCATTCATTCAGCTCCGTTCTGTTCCGTTGTACTGACTGATGTAAATAACGGATGATATCATTGAACCTGACACCTTTAGGGAAACCAGCTAGACCATATATTATACCCTAGTTTCTTTAGTTGCACAACAGTTAAACACAGTTACCACAACTAGCTGAAAAGTATACGTTTCAGAAAGACAATGTAATGTAGGTTCATAGGGTGGATGTACTTTTTATACAAGAACTGGATTAAAACCATTCTTAGCTCAATAACATTGTAGCTATATGATGCATATAAAAATGTCCATACCTATTACATGTGAACAACATTTTAGCTTTTATTTCCACTTTATGTTCAGCACTATATCTGGTAGAATTGGAATCTGGTCGGTTGATATCCACTGAAATAAGCTAGAACAACAGAACACAACACGTTGATACAGTACGGTACATAATATAACGCGATAGGAGAGAAAGACAACAGTGTTGGTGACGACACACCAAATTCTCTGTTGAGAGATGCACTTGCCTTGAGGCAGGTGTTTTATTTTCATGTTCTACTACAGTGTAACAGAGGCCATAGAAATATAGAGGATAGATAGGACATTATTGTGAAATAGCATTGGACAAAAGTACCACCCCACTGTGTTCCCTGCTACCTGGGTGCACAGCACCACTAAGTAACCCAGCCTCAGCCATGTAGAGGCTGACACAATCTCCACACAACAGGGACATAGAAATAGAATCTAGAATGCTATTTCTAGAATTCTATATTTCTATGAACAGGGATAACGCTTATTGAAAACAACTTTAAAAAGCACCACAGTGTAAGTAACAGGGCATGGAGTTGGAGTTAAAACAATGGATTCCCAGGAGGGTTGACTCCTGTAGCTTAAAAATGTTGCCCGTTCCGCCATTTCATAACAAAGGATATGGCTCAATGTTTTTAACCCAAGGAGGTGAGATGGCCCAATCAAGTGGAATCCCCAAAGGCCCTTTGATATAAGACGACCCCAGGAAGAGAAGTGGGGTTGGGCCGGGAAAACAGCACCAACATGGGCCCACACACGACCCAAAGGCGCACGCACACCAGTCAAGCTAATTGCGAGTCTGACAACTTTATAAGATTGAAGAGAATAGTATTGGAAATAAGACAAAGGTTTTTAATCAGGTGTCTTTCTCCAACCGCTAAATGACAATGGCAGATAGATATTTTAGAGGGTTACAGTGTTTGTTTGTGTGTGTGTGTGTTTGTTTGTTTGTGTGAGAGAGAGCATTTGGGCGTTCGGTTGTGGGGTTCACATACTGATGTTATGTAACAAAACAAGCTGACAGAATTCTCCTCAGAGTTACACTGTTGCAATAACCACGGTTGCAATAACCAATGTCTTCTTTCAGCAGAACATGAAAACAAAAAGATAATAGGAATTAATCAACGCAAAATAGTCGAACAGCCAGATCCATCTCTTTTGCTTTAGATTTTAAATTTAAACATGTGCTCTTCTTTAAGCATACAGTTGAAGTCGGAAGTTTACATAAACTTAGTTTGGAGTCATTAAAACTTGTTTTTCAACCACTCCACAAATTTCTTGTTAACAAACTATAGTTTTGGCAAGTTGGTTAGGACATCTACTTTGTGAATGACACAAGTAATTTTCCCAACAATTGTTGGGAATTACAGACAGATTATTTCACTTATAATTCACTGCATCACAATTCCAGTGGGTCAGAAGTTTACATACACTAAGTTGACTGTGCCTTTAAACAGCTTGGAAAATTCCAGAAAATGATTTCATGGCTTTAGAAGCTTCTGATAGGCTAATATTTGACTCAAAAGTAGTCGACTCAAAAATATCTCTCAAGAAACTGGAGCTTGTGAATCCAAAAATGTATTATTGCGTAACAAAGCCGAGCTGCTCCATGGTCTATTGGAGGTGTACCTGTGGATGTATTTCAAGGCCTACCTTCAAACTCAGTACCTCTTTGCTTGACATCACGGGAAAACCAAAATAAATCAGCCAAGACCTCAAAAAAATTGTAGACCTCCACAAGTCTGGTTCATCCTTGTGAGCAATTTCCAAATGCCTGAAGGTACCACGTTCATCTGTACAAACAATAGTACGCAAGTATAAACACCATGGGACCACGCAGCCGTCATACCGCTCAGGAAGGAGACTCATTCTGTCTCCTAGAGATGAATGGACTTTGGTGCAAAAAGTGCAAATCAATCCCAGAACAGCAGCAAAGGACCTTGTGAAGATGCTGGAGGAAACAGGTTCAAAAGTATCTATATCCACAGTAAAACGAGTCCTGTATCGACATAACCTGAAAGGCCGCTCAGCAAGGAAGAAGCCACTGCTCCAAAACCGCCACAAAAAAGCCAGACTACGGTTTGCAACTGCACATGGGGACAAAGATCGTACTTTTTGGAGGAATGTCCTCTGGTCTGATGAAACAAAAATAGAACTGTTTGGCCATAATGACCATCGTTATGTTTGGAGGAAAAAGGGGGTTGCTTGCAAGCCGAAGAACACCATCCCAACCGTCAAGCACGGGGATGGCAGCATCATGCTGTGGAGGTGCTTTTCTGCAGGAGGGACTGGTGCACTTCACAAAATAGATGGCATCATGAGGAAGGAAAATTATGTGGATATATTGAAGCAACATCTCAAGACATCAGTCAGGAAGTTAAAGCTTGGTCGCAAATGGGTCTTCCAAATGGACAATGACCCCAAGCATACTTCCAAAGTTGTGCCAAAATGGCGTAAGGACAACAAAGTCAAGGTATTGGAGTGGCCATCATAAAGCCTTGACCTCAATCCTATAGAAAATGTGTGGGCAGAACTGAAAAAGCATGTGCGAGCAAGGAGGCCTACAAACCTGACTCAGTTACACCAGCTCTGTCAGGAGGAATGGGCCAAAATTCACCCAACTTATTGTCGGAAGCTTGTGGAAGGCTACCCGAAATGTTTGACCCAAGTTAAACAATTTAAAAGCCATGCTACCAAATACTAATTGAGTGTATGTAAACTTCTGACCCACTGGGAATGTGATGAAATAAATAAAAGCTGAAATAAATCACTCTACTATTATTCTGACATTTCACATTCATAAAATAAAGTGGTGATCCTAACTGACCTAAGACAGGGAATTTATACTAAGATTAAATGTCAGGAATTGTGAAAAACTGTGTTTAAATGTATTTGGCTAAGGTGTATGTAAACTTCTGACTTCAACTGTATGTAGATTTGTCTTTTTTAAACAACAATACGTTCACATAATAAAATGGCAGTTTTAGATAATCTAGATCAGGGATGGGCAACTTTGATGGGGGCCACAAAAAATCTGAACTCATCTGCGTACCCACATCCACACCCCCACACTGCGAGCAAAACATTCTTGACAGAGGAGAGATTTTTTACATTAGTTCCATGCAATTCTACACATTTGCTATGGGGTGTAGAGAAAATGTGGCAGTTTTAAAGCAAGTTTACTGCAATTCTATACATTTTGCCATGAGGCAGAGAGGAATGTTTGCAGGTTTTAATATGATTTCTGAGTGAGACACTAACAAAATCAATGGGAGCCCTCGGCCAGTAATTCGACCATGATAACAAGTTTAGATAACTGGCCGCTAAACATTTTAGCTGACAATTCTACTATTCTAACTCGCAACTGTAAGTTAAGACCCCGACTGAGTTCCCAATTTGTTTTATCCGAGGGCCTTCAAAAGGGGAGCAGTGGGCCACCAGTTGGCCTTCAAAAGGGGAGCAGTGGGCCACCAGTTGGCCTTCAAAAGGGGAGCAGTGGGCCACCAGTTGCCCACCCCTGATCTATATATAGTTTTATTCTTGCAGAAACGTCATAATATAAGCACAATGACTAAGAATGAGCGACCTAGGCCATACCATGTTTACAACATTGGTTTAGCCTACAGGTGAATGAATGATACCACACTTAAACTATCGTCACCCTTCTTGGCGTTATACTGAACTTGTTCATTAGGTGTAGGATAGACTTTTAGCTGAGCTTTAAAGTGGAGAACATTTAGCTTAATAAATGGTAAAATCAGAGCAACATTTACATAAACATACTGATAATAGACAAAAATAGAAAAGGGTTGAGAAAAATAAAGGGTATATAATCCCGGAGGAGGTATGGATGAAGATGGGTTGTGAACAGTGTGTTTATATAGCTGGTGTTGGACTGTGTGTTGACTTCTTTCTTTGTGTGTATTTCTTTGACCTTGTTATATTAACCTTCATATAAGAGTATTAGGCTGTCTTTTGATTCTCCACACTTCCCCCAAAATGTGCATACTCCCATTCATGGGTTTAAAAGCATAGGTTTGGTGTAAACACTGGCTGGAGAGAGTTCACACCATTGTTAAATCCATGACCGGAAATGTGCAAGTCCACACTTTGGAAGGGTTGCAGTGCGCAGCCTTAGAACAGCCAAGAGAGTGCCTGAGCTAACAGACAGAGATAACTAGCTAGGTGACAACAGAGTGATTCCATCAGAGTTCATCATCCACCATGTACAGTAATGTCACTTTCAAAGTGAGTAAACCATTTGACTTAGCCTCCCGCGTCCAAGCCAACCAGGTGGCCGGTCTCATCAGGAGGAAGTGGAGTGGGTGGGGTTAGACAGGTCCACATAACCAAATCAGCTAGCTGCACCAGTGGATTGGCCTCTGCCACCTGTCAATCACACAGTTTCTTCCTACTTATTAAGCCCATAGAGTGATGTGCCTGCCCAGTTGGAGTGAGTGCAGTGCTAAAGGACTGATTTTGGAGTTAAAGAAATCTCCCAAAAAGCTTCCCATTTTCTCATGGCCTTTTTCAAAGAAGGAGTAAAGGCACCAGGCCTAGTGGGCAGTTCTGGGCTGGACCGGCCAAAGTATGGTATAGGTGGTGTTACCATCCCTACTTCACTAATTTTCTCTCAGACCTGGAAGGTCAACACAAGAGTGAGTACGGTGAGAGAGAGTGAGATGTTCACCCCACCCCAACACAGGATCAACCACAGACTGCCTTTACAAGTGTTCATTCACGTCACACACATACAGTAAAAGTTGTTGCCTCACTTTTGGTACTGAGCGGACACCCTCCATCTTGTAGGTGACCTACGGGCTTTGGTAAAGTATAGCGCCCGTAAACAAAACGTTAGAAATATGAACTAACTCCTAATGGAAGAAGAGGAGTAGGGTTGCTTGTATGTGGCCCCATTTTAAGTTGGTTGATTGTTTTGCCCCAAAGTGTGTCGGAGGGCTGTAATGTTTTGAGTTCTTAGTGAGCAAAAACAGTCCTTTTTGTGGTTTCAATACATCAATACACCAAGAATAATAGAGCCAGAGAAATAACAACATTAGGGAAAATGGCACGTAAAAAACCTGGGAAAAAAACGTTTTGGTTGCAAGTAAATATCATGTGACCAAAACCTTCACTGTAAATAACTATATTGAAATGTTTGCTTTCTTTTGATCAACACTCCCTGAAAGAAAATGACCCTTTTAGCTTCAATCTACTGGATATAGATATAGAAAACGTAGATAGAAAACTGTTGTCCTGTGTTGCTGTTGTGATGCAGGGTTGTGGTGTAGGGCTCGTTGCTGATGGCAAGGTCTGTTCTGCACCCCCGTGTATTTGTATTTTTACTGTTGTTGCATTGATCCATTTAACCCCACTAGGGGGTGCTAGCCACCCTTCCCTCTCCCCCTGCCGAGTCCAGACATAAGATACATTCCCTGGGGTGAGGACGGGGAAGAGAGGGGGTCTGTGGTTGTAGAGATCCAGAGGACCAAGTAGAAGAAGCAGGCTAGAACAGAGAGAGCGCGTGCGCGAGTGGGGAAAGGAGGAGTCTATATGGGAAACAAGGATCTCTCCCCTGCTCTCTTTTTATTATGGCCTTCTCACAAAGTAAAAAAAAGCAAATTCTTCTCTGTAAAAAACCCCAACAACATTGAAACGTTTTGGGACAAAATTAGCCTCTTTTCTGGTCCCTTCATGGCTGACTTGACGATTAGGTCAGGGGTTATTTTTGTGTTGTTGTTGCGCTGTAGAGCTGGAACTGCGTGTTGGCTCCCAGGTTGGAAGTCTTGGGAGGGAGCTGGAGTTAGCTTGGGATATACTCTGAACAGTAGGAGGCTCCACCCCCTTGGTCCTGCTGGGGTGGGTTGGTCAGGGGTCGGGGTGGACCAAGGACTGTCGAGGGGTGTGACAACGTTGGTTTGGGAGTGACAACGCATGTGTAGGAAGGGAACAGAAAGGAACACCCCTGGTTTGCACGGCGACGGGCAACCCTCACGGTTGGTCGGTTGGTTGGTTCATTCGGTAAATCAGTCTGTAAACCTCTGGCATGCTTTCTTCCATCGGCAGGCAGTGCACCACATGTCCCTGTTCTCCATTCCATACACTTTACGACACTTCTTACCCTCGCCACGGGACTTACGGCTGGAGAGGGGAGAGATGAGGATATGGTCAAATATGTTTGTTAACACTGACTGGTTTATAATGCTAAAGAAAACAACATCCAAAATGGTGATCATTGATATATAGTTTATACAAGTGGTGAAAACATATTAAATTGTTATCTGGTAATTTGCTTCATTCCTATGCAAGACATGGTTGCCATCTCTGAATATGGATACATGGGCTTCCTGTGACTTCAGGACGCCCAAAGTACAGAGGTTATCAGTAAAGGTTCAGCTGGTAGAAGTCATTGGTACCTGAGTGAGCCAGTGGCTCTGGGAGGGGAGGAGAGGACTGCTATTGTCTGGGACCGCTGCTCCCCAAAGCTCTGCGTCCGACTGTGGGTGGGAGAGGCCTGGAGAGAGGTAAACAGAACAGGACCAGAGCCATCAGAACACAGAGATAGACAGAGAACATTCATTTATATACAGACACAAAACAACAGAAAACCACTGGTATGCTTGAGAGGCTGAGTGTGTGTGTATTTGTAGGAGTGTGTGAATCCCTGTGTGAGTTTGTGTGTGTTTCCTCTACTCACAGCGGTGCCAGTGAAAGTGACAGGAGGTGACTGCCAGGAGATGCTGAAGGTGGAGCTGCTGCTGGGGGTGAAGGAGGTGGAGGCAGCAGAGCCTGGGCCAGGGACAGACCCAGAGCCTGAGGAGGGGATGGTGACTGGAGCTGTGGCCTGGGGAGGGGAGGGACATCCACAAGTCAGTCTCACCTTTAAAGACCAGTGTGTAGCACCCACACAGTCAGTCAATTAACAAATCAATCAATTAACCAATCAACCAACAAGTCAATCAATCAATTAACCAACCAACCATCAGTCAAGCACTCAATCAATGAAATTGTATTGCAAATTGCAAATACTGTAAGCACTTTGCTACTTACGAGTTCAGAAGGCATGGCCAGTAGTTTTGTGGGTGCGTCTCACCTGGTAGGCGTGCTCTGCGTGGATGAGGTAGAGGGCGCTGGGGGCGGAGCGACTGAGGGGCGTGGTGTTGGAGTGGGTGTGGCTGTGATTCTCCTTGTTCCCATTGGTCCCGTTGCTGCTCTCTGCAGGGGGTCGTCTGTGGTGGTCATGGGGGGGAGAGATGGGGGAGAGCACGGAGGGGGAGACGGGGGACAGGCTGCTCAGACCGTCAGCCACTGAGTCTGTGTTGAGTTTGATCTCTGAGTAGTAGAAATCCTCCTCTCCGTCACTGCAGTCAGAGTCACAGTTACGCCTGGGGGAGAGGAAGGAGTTAAAACTAGGAGTTAATATCAGCATGGATTTGGATTAGATGAGCCCTGCTCTTGTCATTACAGAGGAATTATGATTGGACCAGATTGTTGGTCCCATGACTAATAATATGAACTACCGAATTTGATCATATTCAAAAAGCAAGTTCATAGAGATAGATTATTTTTTTTCCCATTTTGAAGTAATACATTTTTTGTCACGATTGGCTGATCCCTCCTCATGACCCCGTGACTCCAACAGGGTCACCAGGAGTGATCAGCCAATGAAGTTGGAAGTTCCATCCAGTTGACTACATTAAAATGTTGGAAGCCCTCAAAAGGTGCTGCCCATGATAAATACGGCCTTTTGGCCACTAGAGGCCTCCATCATTCTCTATGGGCAAGCTTCATCAGGGATCGACTTGGGAGGGCTGGCTCTGAAAGGTGTCATCATGTCACCCCCATTGCAGCACAGACAGTAGACTTCACTATCACAGGCCTGGCAAACAAACACTCCTCAAACACTGTTCTGTCTGTCAGGGAAGAGGGGTGGCGGTCTTTAAAGGTGTCTCTGTTGTGAGTATCACTGTGGTTATTATTGTGCTTTAATTGACTGTCAGTGTAAACGTGTTATCTGTGTGATAACGTTGTTCTGTTCCGTCCTCATTTCTCCCTGGCCTGTCACGCTGAGCCAAGTGGAGGAATTGTTACCGTGGTGATAATCCCACAGGGATTAATCTGCTGTTGTGTTTTGACAATCCCAGTGAAAGGAGGTTGACAAAGGTTCAGCTGGACCACTGCCAGCCAGGGCTGTGTGTGTGTGTGTGTGTGTGTGTGTGTTAGAGAGAGGATAAAAGAGAGAGCAAGAGTAAAAAAAAGGTGTAAGGGAGAGAATGAGTGCCATGTGTATATATATATTAGTGTGCGTCTTACCCCAGGTGAACGGTCCGGATGTGTCTCTGTATCCCAGCAGCCGTGCTCAGAACCTTCCCACAGTTCTTCCACAGACACTTAAACATCACTTTCATGGAGTTCTGTACATTACACACAGGAGGAGAGACAGACAGAGAACAACATTCAACATCGGACACTTCACCCTTTTCTCACTCACTCAAAATCACATTTTATTTGTCACATGCGCCGAATACAACTGGTGTAGGCTTTACCGTGAAATAGTAGCACAAGATGAATAAAATACACAATAATGGAGCTATATACAGGGAGTATCAGTACCAGATCAACGTGAAGGGGTACCAGGTATTTGAGGTAGATATGTACATGAAGGCAGGGTAAAGTTACTAGGCATCAGGATAGATAATAATAAGAGTAAAATTTTAAAAACAGAGTAGCAGCAGCAAATGATGAAAAGGTGTGTGTGTGCGTAGTGTGTATGTGTGTGTGTGTACGTGTGTGTGTGTGTGTGTGTGTATGTGAATGTATGTGGGTTTTGTGGGAGTGTCAATGTAGCTCCCTCCCTCCCTCACAGAGAAAGGGTGGAACAGAGTGGTAAGAGCTCTGCCATTCATCCCATCCTCCATTAGTCAAACTAACATGTGGCCAGGGACACCCACCCACCTGTCTGCCCCAATCTTCCCCATTCAGTCTGAGGAGAGGCAAACTGGAGGCTGGTGTAATTTGCGTGGTGGTGAGAGGAGAGCGAAGGAGGAGAAGGGGGCCTGCTCTTTGCTGTGCCATTTGTCTTACACAATACGCGCATTAAAAACACACACACAGCTGTGCCATTTTTCACACTATCTGTCCTCTGTAATTACAGCATGGCCCTCCGAGAGCAATTGCTTCCGAGCAGCAGCCTTTCAGATTGTGTGTGTGTGTGTGTGTGTGTGTGTGTGTGTGTGTGTGTGTGTGTGTGTCTCAAGTTGAAAGCCGTCAGGCCTTATGAGGATAGACGTGTCTTAATGCTCTGATCCCTCGTCACAGTTCTTTATGATGGATGTCATGTGGCCATCTATTTGGCCATTGTTCAGGGCATTCATTTAATTTACAACAGAAGATGTTTTTCATTTTTTCTTCCTGCTGCCAAATAATACACTCGTCATCATCTCCTGCTTGTGAATGTGTGTGTGTGAGTGTGTGTGTGTGTGTGTGTGTGTGTATGTGTGTTGGTCCTTGGGTAACAAAACCCCTGTGCAGTTCCACATGCCAGCAGCGCACAGTTAATTAAAAGAGAGAGACTGGTGAACGAACATCATTGTCTTTGGCTCAGAGGAGGAAGAGAAGAGCAACATTTGGCTCCAGTTGGCGTGGGTGATGATTTCTCATGCAACCTGGGGGAAGTGTTCTGAAAAGATGGGGAACAATAAAAACTAAACTCGTCTCTGAAGCCAATATGGAGAGTTGGAGACTCAGAAGTTGAAAGAGGAACTTAAGAATTCAAACATAACTCAGTGAGATACACTGAGGAGGAGACACCAGACAGACACGTTCAGTGCCTCCAGTAGAGGTTCTGTGCCTGTGGTGGATAGTTTTCTTATTAATGTTAATTATTAATGACAACATATAGACAGTGATGTAATAGAATAGACTAGTCTTAAATTAAGAGATCAGCAGACTCTTACAGAATACTCCTTTAAAAGCAAATCTGGATTAATTTTATTGCACTGTTGCATGGCTGTCCTCAAATCCAACTATACTCTGATGTAGACTCCTCCTGTCTTCATCTCTCTACCCCTTTCTCAATATATCTGCCCCTCTACCATTCTCTCTCTCTCTCTTTCTGTCTGTATATCCTATTGATCTGATGGGAGACGCACGGCACCGCTCATCTCTTAATTGGATACTGGATTCTAAAGAATGAGAGGATGGATGGTCAATCTTCATGTTTGCCAGTGAAGATATTACAATCATCATTTCAATGTTAGATGGGCTCATGTGTGGCTGTAAAGTAATTAAGCAGGATAAATGACTGGAGGCGCAGGGCGGGCAGGCGTGTGTGAATGTGGCAGGGAGGCGTGTGTGTGTGTGTGTCTCAGTAGAGGCTGGGAATTGACAGCTAGACAACAGAACAGAGCTTCACCATCCAAGAATTCTGCTCCCCTGATAAGAATGAGAGACAAAAAAAGAGGGAAAAATATAAAGGAGGGAATATTCAGCCATTAATTCACGTAAACGAGGAGAGTGACAGAATGGTGGCCGTCAACGGTGTAAATAAATGAGAGTTGAAGCATTAAGCAGTGGATTGTTGGGCTACTCTAAGTGGCCATAACATGTTGTGTCCGCCCAATTAGTTTTCATGCTCTCCTCTAGTGGTGTTTGTGCTACGTGGTGGTTCAGAGACGACGTCAGGCATCGCCACGTGTCTAAGGATCAATCTGTCATTTTCACACTGTCTCAAATTCTACCTCAGTCAGCATGTCATCTTCCAATGTCACTTTGAGTTCAGGAAGGAGGTGTTACAGTAGCTAGTTAGCAACATTTCCAAAACAAGTGCAGGAACTGCCTTCTTTTGGGACATCCTCTTTGTCTTGCCAAGATCATTGATACTGCAATACAACCCCTTCTTAAATCAACCTACTACCAATTCAAAATGAACAACAGTCAGAATTGATCAAAACATTAATCTAATCTAGTGTTGGTTCTGTGTGTCCTCAGAGGACCATAACAGCAATATGTTGTTTAATGTTTTCGGGTTATCCTATGGGTTATCGAGTGTATCCACTTGTGTGGCTAGAATTGTATATTTAAATGGTTAAATGAAATCTATCGGTCTACCCACCTTGCGCTTGCGTGGGATTGGCTCGTCGAAGAGCAGGCTGCTGCCATCCTGTTCGTCGATGGCGTCGTCAGGGGGTGGGCCGTTGACGCTGGACATGCGGAAGGGCTTGAAGCTGTCTGCGGAGAGCGGTGGGGAGGGGGTGGACGGGTTGGACTGGTCACTAGGACCGCTCCAGCTCCAATAGCCACTACTGCTGTAACTGGAGGGGGTGAAGCCTCCACCACTGTCCTTCCACGAGCCATTCAGACCCTCTGGAGGGGGGAGAGAGAGAGAGAATGTCAGAAAAGTACTCAAACTTAGTACTCAACTATTTAGGAGTCCTCTAAGCAACAATTGTCACTGGGATGACATCATACGATTCAGAAACACATGTATCTAACAACTCAAACGCATAGTGATTTCCAGCTGCATCAACTTTCAATGTATGCAGTAGTTTTAATAATAATACTTTATTTTAAGCGCTTTTCAAGACGCCCAAAGTCACTTTACATATAGAGATAATCAGCAAGTTAAAAAGGCTATAAAATCATCATGACGTGACCTCAGCAAGGGGATATGCATATGAAACAGTAAATGGTTCCCCAAAAACAACTTCCATTGTCAGTTTGTTCAGAGTGCGCAAAACGACACGTACAGACGCTAGCTATCATGATCACCTCTCCGCAAATATTTGTTTGATCAAATGTTTGATTGTTGCCGTCTTGGGAAGAAACTCCCTTGTAAAAGAGACTCTTAATCTCAATGTGATCACCCGTATAAAAAGAGGATACATGAATAAATGATATAAAACCATGTTTTGTCGACTTACCGCTGACTTTGACAGGGGGGCTCCTGACCAGAGGACTGCTGGACAGGCTGGTCAGAACCATGGCAGCTGTCACCTTGTCCATGTCCACTTCCTCCTCTGACTTCCTGTTAAAACAACAAACAGAAAATATCACTGGGCATGAAAGCACAACAACAATAACAACAAACAGATAACGGGGCTGTGTCCGAAATGGCATCATATACGGCTCTGGCCCAAAGCACTAAGCCTACATTGGTAATATGGCACTGTAATATGGTGCAATTTCAGATTCACTGGGCATGCCTCAAAACCATTCCTCAACTCACACTCCCCCTGTCTGACCGTGATCTACTGGTCAGCTCATTAACATGATCCAGCAGGCTCTTTGTTTTCTGTTGAGGTAACCGGCGCCATGTCTCTGACAGATAACAGACACGCTGAAGGAAAACGTCGCCATTTGTCTATTTTAATTGGCGTGAATTCACCAACGCTATGGATACATCTCTTAATCCACCCCACTGTACTCCCGACACATACACACACGTGGTTCAAACAAATAATTATTATAGAGAGAGCAGGGAGGTTGATAGAACAGAGAAGGAGAACCTAAATTATTGTTCTGATTAAATTAATATGATGTCATTACTGGATTACATATAAATCCCTGACTCACTTTACCCAGAACCACCCACTCCCTGCTTTGCTGGACTCCCCCAATTTCTGGTCACCTTGGTGTGTGAGAGAGAACTAGACAATGCTACCAGGCCGTCCCTTTGGACAACTCATAATTGCAGTCCCTCATATCTTTATTAAATATTGTAGATTTCACCAACACACATTAGCACAGTGATACATGTTTGATTTTTTTTTGTCATTTAGCAGACGCTCTTATCCAGAGCGACTTACAGTTAGTGAGTGCATACATTTTTTCATACTGGCCCCCCGTGGGAATCGAACCCACAACCCTGGCGTTGCAAGCGCCATGCTCTACCAACTGAGCTACAGGGGATAATAAAGATGTAATGTATGGGCACACACACACAGAGAGCAGTCTAGTGGTTATGATATGGGGAGGTAAGGGGGGGGGGGGTGAGATGACATGGATGAGGGGATGACAGGAGGGGGGAGATGACAGGATGGGGGGATGACACGGATTGGGGAGATGACAGGATGAGGAGATGACAGGATGAGGAGATGACAGGATGAGGAGATGAGGAGATGACAGGATGAGGAGATGAGGGGATGAGGAGATGACAGGATGAGGGGATGACAGGATGAGGGGATGAGGAGATGACAGGATGAGGGGATGAGGAGATGACAGGATGAGGGGATGGGGAGATGACAGGATGAGGGGATGGGGAGATGACAGGATGAGGGGATGGGGAGATGAGAGGATGGGGACATGAGGGGATGGGGAGATGACAGGATGAGGGGATGACAGGATGACAGGATGAGGGGATGAGGAGATGAGATGAAAGGATGAGGGGATGGGAGATGACAGGATGGAGAGATGGGGGGGGGGGATAAGGGAGAGGGGTGACGGAGGGGGGTTGAGATGTTAAAGTGAACATGACAGGCCAGACTAAGTGCGATTGTTAATGGGTCGGTAAGAGAGTTGTGAAAAATACATTGCATATGTTATGGGTGTGTTATTGTACCGTCATAATGAATAGCCATCCTTCAATAAACCAATAAACATCATTAAGCAATACCAAGCATTGGTGAGGGAGATCAACACACAAGTTAGCCTTGTAATTAAATACAGAAAATAGCCTAGTGTATGCTAGTGTAGATTCATAACATTTCATGACATGTTAATAACAAACACAGGCATGATACTGATGCCACAGTTCTATTCCAAGAACACTAGAACTTAATCCTGGTTGAGAGAATGCCAAGAATGTGCAAAGCTGTCATCAAGGCAAACGGTGGCTACTTTGAAGAATCTCAAATATAAAATACTTTTTGGGTTACTACATGATTCCATATGTGTTATTTCATAGTTTTGATGTCTTAACTATTATCCTACAAATGTAGAAAATAGTAAAAATAAAGAAAAACCCTGGAATGAGTAGGTGTCCAAACCTTTGACTGGTACTGTAAGTTAGAGGTAGTTTCGCGAGCTAATGCTAACTAGCGTTAGCACAAAGACTGGAAATTACAATCTATCTGCAATATTAAAGCTGATCTACCCCTAAAAAAAAAAAAAAGACTGGAAGTCTACATGTACCTGCAGGAAGTAGAAAAGTAGTAAGCATGCTCATTTGACTCTGGGGTAAGTAGAAAAACGTCTTAATTGCCAGAATCTCACAGTATCCCTTTAAATCAGAGTAGTGCTGGGAACCGAGCAGTCTGCCTGCCCTGCTAAACTGGCAGGGCCAATCATAACTCCACTCTTTCTAGCCTACATAAAATATCACAGGGTTTATAAACAGCCTGTAATCCAGCCCGCTACCCCCCTCATCTGGGTTTGGTCGGGCGGCAGGGGTTAAATGGGAGAGATGGCCGTCAGCCAGAGAGAAGCAGTATGTCCACAGTCTGATGACATCTGTTGAACTTACACTGTTCCACTAGACAGACAGATGTGCTACCAACTTTTTCGTGGTTGACTGACTGTCCAAACTCTAGAAGACATATGGCTTAGTGAGAGAGAAGAGAGAAAGAGAGAGAAACCAATACCTTCCCACTCCCCAGGCATCTGTGCCTTTGTCTCGGCAGCCAGCACCCTCCTCTCCCCCTCCTCGCCCTGTTCCCTGTCCCAGCCCGGGATGTTCCCAGTTTCTGGAACACCACCGGGTGTTTCTCCTTGGGTGTAAAAACAATAAGCCATTGTGTTACAGACGATTTAGCTTGACACGTAGCCTTGGCGATTGTCCTGTTTGATTGAATTGTTTCAGGCTCTATCATTCTTTAGCAACAGGTTATTTTCAGCTGATAACACACGATCTTGAACCACAGGAATCCCAGACAGACAGACAGATAAAATATCAAGTTTGATGGGACATAACAGGCTCCATACTGAACAGTGTACACACTAGCCATCTCCTCAGATGTACCGCATCACAGAACAACATGTCTTACATTAACACTAGTCTCTTCCTACATGTCTAAAATGAGTTTGCCTAAGACTATTTGAACACTGACTCACTACACGTACTGTAATAGTTCTGCGAACTCATGAAAATTAGTTTGTATAACTTATGACAAAATATCTTATAAACCCAGACCACTTACTGTAGTAGTTCAGCTAACTAATCAATTAAACGAGAGGTTTTGATCCAGAACAAACAACCTTTTCTCTCTTTAGATAAAGACGTGACATGGGGAGTTTGATATGGAACAGAAGTACAGACATTCCAGGTATAATGTAGTACACACACGCACAAGCACACACTCCCTTTCCCGAAATTCCCTAAAACAAATTATGGCAGGCATCCCATCCCATTCACACACAGTCATTAATATCTGGCAACTTTATTTTCTGTGTCACCGAAAACCATTACTCAGAAATAATGAAGCCGGTTTAACTATCTGCTGGGAATTCCCCCAAAACTCTGCCGAGTGAGTGCCCCTCCTACTCCTACACACAACCCCCCCCTCTCCCTCCCTTCACCTCTGAGAATGAGCTGTTTTGCTCTCTCTCCTACCCCTCAACTCTGTTTTGAGCTGGGCGTAAAACAGGGAGAGGAGAGCAGAACAGGGGGATCCAGCGGACGAGTAGAGGGGGCTCCAGCGCAGGGAGAAGAGGGGGCTCTAGCGGAAGGTTAGAGGGGCTCCAGCGCAGGGAGAAGAGGGGGCTCTAGCGGAAGGTTAGAGGGGCTCCAGTGGAGGGAGAAGAGGGGGCTCTAGCGGAAGGTTAGAGGGGCTCCAGTGGAGGGAGAGAGGGGGCTCCATCGGAAGTGTCGATGGGGCTCCAGTGGAGGTTTAGGGGCTCCATGAAGGTTAGAGGCTCCAGTGGAGGTAAAGAAGGGCTCCAGGAAGGTTAGAGGCCTCCAGTGGAGGGGAAGAAGCCTCCATCGAATTTAGAGGCTCCGTGGAGGGAGACAAGGGGCTCCAGCGAAGAAGTTAGAGGGGCCCATGAGGGAGAAAAGTGGCTCTAGCGGAAGGTTAGAGGGCTCCATGGAGGAGAAGAAGGGGCTCTAGCGGAAGGTTAGAGGGTCCATGGAAGGAGCAAGGGGCCTGCGGAGTTAGAGGGGCCATGGAGGGAGAAGAAAGGGCTCAGCGGAAGGTAGAGGGGCCCAGTGAGGGAGAAAGGCTTCTAGCGGAAGAGAGGGGCCAGTTGAGAGAAGAGGGGTTCTAGCGGAAGTTAAGGGTCCAGTGGAGGGAGAAGAGGGGCTCCGCGGAAGGTTGAGGGCTCCAGTGTGGAGAACAGGGCGTTTTAGAGGGCTCCAGTGGGGAAAGGGGGTCTAGCGAAGGTTTAGAGGGCTCCATTGGAGGAGAAGAAGGGCTCCCAGCGGAAGGGTTAGAGGGGCTCCAGTGGAGGGTTAGAGGGGCTCCCCAGTCTCTTTGATGTGGGTGTAGAGCGGGGCAGCTCATCGTTTATTACAATCACTGGCCTATGACGCTTATTCCTCCTGAATACTTGACCTATAAATCCTACGACACTCCTGGTAAAAGCCTAAAACACCCCTCCAATCCCCACCCCCCCCCCTTTCTCTCATCCTCTTTCTATATCTACTCGGAGATACGCCTATCGTCCATCCACACACGCACAAGCACATTCACACATACAGACACAAATCTACGAATGACACGGGGCAAGGACATGAAGGACATTAAGCAGAGACTAACCTCCCACCCCACACACACGGAAGAGATGTATTCCAGATAAAGGCCATGCCTTCATCTCACAGGGGGCCATGGATAATAACAAGAGAGCGAGAGAGAGAGAGGCAGAGTGGGAGCATTCTGAGGCGACCCAAAGCAATATGGGCATGTTTTTTCATTCAATTTCCTGTGTGATTTCCACATCAGATCTTTCCTCCTTTCATTTGTTAGTGTGTTTAGCAGGTGTGTTTTTGCGTGTCACTGTCTGTGTGTGCGTGTGTACATGCATGTTTGTGCATGGGTGTGTGTATCGTCTACTGTTTACAGAAGTCTAAATAGGAGTGGTGCTCACAGCATCATGAAAACATGCACAGCCAACAACACAACAGTAAAACTCATAGCAAATTTGACCTTAATATCTTTTAACATTTACCTTTCAGCATGATGTTTGGGGACATTCTACCTGAGCAGAAAGGCAGATCGGACACAGACTGTAAAAGCACATTGTGTGTGTGTGTGTGTGTGGTTTTGGTGTCAGAACTCGACAACGTCGGCTGTCGGGGTCCAAGTTCTACTGACTCCTCAGTCTGTTCCTATCCCTCCTCTTCCCTGAGATACGATGTCTGAGTCGTCTTCGGGTTTCACACACACCATCCCGCCGGCCTGCCATCAAGACTCTATACTTACTGGCGTACCACACACCCCACAGCCCCCGCAAGGCAGGGGGCCCATGACCCTTGCTTGGAGTCCACCTGTGGTAAATTCAATTGATTGGACATGATTTTGAAAGGCAAACACCTGTCTATTTAAGGTCCCACAGTTGGCAGTGCATGTCAGAGCAAAGACCAAGCCATGACGTCGAAGGAATTGTCCGTAGAACTCAGAGACAGGATTGTGTTAAGGCACAGATCTGGGGAAGATTACCAAAAACTGTCTGCAGCATTGAAGGTCCCCAAGAACACACTAGCCTCCATCATTCTTAAATAGAAGAAGTTTGGAACCACCAAGACGCTTCCTAGAGCTGGCCGCCCGGCCAAACTGAGCAATAAGGGCCTTGGTCAGGGAGGTGACCAAGAACCCGATGGTCACTGACAGAGCTCCAGAGTTCCTCTGTGGAGATGGGACCTTCCAGAAGGAACCTTCCAGAAGGACAACCATCTCTGCAGCACTCCACCAATCAGGCCTTTATGGTAAAGTGGCCAGACGGAAGCCACTACTCAGTAAAAAGGCACATGACAGCCCACTTGGAGTTTGCCAAAAGGCACCTAAAGGACTCTCAGACCATGAGAAACAAGATTCTATGGTCTGATGAAACCAAGATTGAACTCTTTGGCCTGAATGTCAAGCGTCATGTCTGGAGGAAACCTGGCACCATCCCTACGGTGAAGCATGGTGGTGGTAGCATCATGCTGTGGGGATGTTTTTCAGCGGCAGGGACTGGGAGACTAGTCAGGATCGAGGGAAAGATGAATGGAGCAAAGTACAGAGAGATCCTTGATGAAAACCTGCTCCAGAGTGCTCAGGACCTCAGACTGGGGAGAAGGTTCACCTTCCAACAGGACAATGACCCTAAGCACACAGCCAAGACAACGCAGGAGTGGCTTCGGGACAAATCTCTGGATGTCCTTGAGTGGCCCAGCCAGAGTCCGGACTTGAACCCGATCGAACATCTCTGGAGAGACCTGAAAATAGCTGTGCAGCTACGCTCCCCATCCAACCTGAGCTTGAGAGGATATGCAGAGAAGAATGGGAGAAACTCCACAAATACAGGCGTGCCAAGCTTGTAGCGTCATACCCAAGAAGGCCCGAGGCTGTAATCGCTGCTTCAACAAAGTACTGAGTAAAGGGTCTGAATACTTATGTAAATGTTTTCAGATTTTAATAAGAAAATAAAATAAAATGTTTTTGCTTTGTCATTATGTGGTATTGTGTAGATTGATGAGGGGAAGAAAACAATGTAATCAATTTTAGAATAAGTCAAGTGGTTTGTTAGCTAGCTAGCCAGACAGTTTTAGAGGAATGATTCCATAAATGTACATTTACGTCATTTAGCAGACGCTCTTATCCAGAGCGACTTACAGTTAGCAAATACATATACATATATATATATATATATTTTTTTTTTTTTATACTGGCCCCCGTGGGAATCAAACCCACACCCTGGCGTTGCAAACGCCATGCTCTATCAACTGAGCTACATCCCTGCCGGCCATCCCTCCCCTACCCTGGACGACGCTGGGCCAATTGTGCGCCGCCCATGAGTCTCCCGGTCGCGGCCGGCTGCGACAGAGCCTGGATTCGAACCAGGATCTCTAGTGGCACAGTTAGCACTGCAAAGCAGTGCCTTAGACCACTGCGCCACTAAATGTTTCAAATTAACTGCCAATATGGCAACATTCCATTCAAACAATGCAGTCAATCCACAGCCACACACTGGCTGAAATCAGTAGATGATAGGACTTAGACAAGTTGTAAATGCAACAAGTACTGATATTGTATCACATAATAGCACTCAGCTTTCTGAGAAAACACAAATGGAGACATTTATGGTCTGTTTACGTATACTGTATTTTAGAGGTAATTTATACAGAGAATTGGTATAAAACCCGTATAAACTGTATTTAGGATTATATGACATTTTAGGTTGACAATAATTCTATTACACAATTTCTGATAATTCACGTCTTACTTTTCCTGCATAAGTAAAATCAGGATTATGCCTCTACTGCCATTCATTCCAATTAGACTGCTTTGGATTTCTCCCCGACAAATATGGCTGCAATTTTCTCTCACTCTAGTAATTTAATAGGATCTCTATGGTCTGCCCCCCAGATAGGATATGAACACGTCATAAGCCATTGGGATTTTTGTTATGAATGACAGGAAATTAGCTGTACAACTGAAACATTTTGTCTTAGCCTCATGACAAAATGTGTAGAATAGCAGGAAATTAGCTTGAAAAATGAAGAATTCTCTGTCTCATTGCAAAATGTGTAGAATAGCATTAGATTAGCTAAATAAAACTGCACGTTTGTCTTTGCCCAAAGGCAAAATGTATAGAAT